GCGTATTTGTTTGAGGAATCGATGTTACACTACTACTTCTCAGCCATTTTAAAATCCTTTTGGCCCGGCGGTGTTCTGGCTTCCTCATATCCCGTGCGTTCCGAGGATATTAAAGATATGACACGCAATGCTGCAAAGGATTTGTTGATGGACAATATACCTGAGGTGCTGTGCAATTTAGTGGGCGCACAAACTGCTAAACACGGTGTGCTAAAGGTTTTCGAAGCCATGCAGAATCCCACGTACAATAAGCAATTATTCTATGTGAGTAGATAAAAATTTTCGTAGATGAGTTTCTAAGAAAACACGCTGAAAGAAACTGAATACCAATAAGAACAAACTTCATTGAATCATTTTAAATATTATTTTTTCTCTTCGCAGGAGCTGCTTGAAATTCTTATGACTGAATTTTTCCCTGAAATACGGCAGTTAAAGTTGCCTGGTGTGAAATCTTCAGCCCAGCACTCGTCCGCAACCGCAACCGGCACTACACCAAATCCCAATCATGCCGTCACATCGCTGGTCACAACAACTACAACGACAGCAGCTGCTACGGCAGCAAGTGGTAGCAGTCATAACAACAATCAGCAAACAGCACACCAACAACAATCAAATGAAAAGCTGCAGCCATTAAAATTTCAACAGCATCATTTTGCAAGTAATAATGGTAAATAGTTAGATTGCTGTTGACCAGCTAGAAATTTAGTAAGAGAGTAGTAAGAAATCTTTACAACCGTAAATTGTTACCCCAGCGGGCATTACACATGCATATGTATTGTCTGAATGACAGGTAACGACCAACGCCTTCGGAAATTTAGTTGGTAATGTTAAGATGTGATTTTTCGAAACGTTTTGTGCTAACTGCGCTAAATTCATTACAATTTATGGATATGTTTGTGTGTGCTATTTAGTATTAGTTAAGAGCGAATATTATTATGTTAAAAGTTTGCGTAATACAATTTCTGTGAAATATGACAAAGTTCTTTGCAAAGATATTATTTGTATTAATTAAGTTTTATTTTGATTTTTAACCTTTAAATTTTTGCTTTTATTTTTTCATTAAGTATGCCTTTATATCTAACTATGTACAATTGCATACAAACTAATATAACAAATTTTTTATACAACTACTAACCAGTATTAGTTAAGAATCTTTTGATTTTCAATTGGAAAATGCTTTAAAAAATATACGAACAACACAATGACATTCCAAAGATATTTATATGTAGTATATCAATATTTGCAAAATTTAATAAAAATAAAGTTAATATAACGCAATGTAAAAGGTTATATGTATGTAGTAAAATTAAATCGGTATAAATTTTGCAAATACAACAAGTAGTAATCCACAAATTATAACAAAATCTAGCAAAAGGACATTTACATAGGTATATGAAATAGTGTTATTAATAGTTATATATGTATGTTTGTAAGTGACTAAATAAAAAATTGCATGAATAAAATGTGATTTCAGGAAATGTATTTTACACTCAAATAAACACACAACTACAAACATTAAGGCAGTTTTTGAGATATTTATATATGTGTATGTATGAAAGCCAGTTATTGAATGTAGCCACCTTCTCAAGAGAAATCAACACGAAATCATCTAGGAAAACTGAATAAATACACATACATACATCCCTAAAATGTAACAATTAAGTATGTATGTAGTTGCAATAAACAACATAAATGTTCAATAAGCTCATTTCGTTTCTTATTGTTATTTTTGCAATATGCCACAAACACACCTACATAAAGCAATAAATGAGATAAATATGTGTGTGTATCTACATATGGCTGTTTTTATTTTTATTTTTATCAAAATACATACTGTATAGTATATAGGTATCTGTACACATCTACATGTTCAAAAGCAAACAATAAATAATACGTATGTATAAATGGTGCATATATGTATATGTGTAAAACATGCAACCCACAATGTCACATTCTATGTAAATAGGGAATAAAAGCATAAAATTTATGTAAACTTTTACCAAAAGATCAACTGTGTTTAATTAACAAATTATTTCGCAGCACTTCAGTGTCGAACAAAATTTACATATGTATATAACACTAATTATAAAAGTTTATTAACATGTATGTATTTGGTATTTTCGTACAAAAAAAAAAAACAAAGCAATTGGCATACAAATGCGGCATATCGATTTAATTGCCCTCCATACTTTGTTTCAATGCTCCTTTCTGTAGCTCGCCCTCTGTCTTGCTCTCTCATTTATCGGAATCCACGCCTGCGTCGACGAAATCGTTGAGCAGCCGCATTGCATTTCGTGGCAACAGACGTCCGATTTTTTCTATATATAAATATTCACGTGGAATACTCGCATGCTCGAGGCTGGTACGTTGTGCTTTAATGATGCTAGCTGCCGCATCTGTGGGCTTAACAAGCTTGAATAGCGCAGGGAAGCGGTAATGCGGGCGCTTGCAGAGACCTGTATCTACCATGTAAGGGTAGATGGTGGTCAGTTTGATCTGTAATTAAGAGAAAAAGAAGGAAGGGTGTTTAATATTTTTGGGTTTTAAAATACTCTGTTGATATTTCGTGCAGGGATGTGGACCGGATGAAAAATTTGATCGGCACCCTTTGTACTGATTCGTCAAAATGGGTTTTTATTGTCTTTGAATGAAAAAAAAAACACTTCAACCAAATTCTGAAGCAGGGCATTTAAGAGTTTTCTGAGATAGAGCGTTTTCGAACTGGTTGCCGAGACAGGTGTTGATTTGTGTTATTTAACCATTTTTCAATACTAAAGATTTTTTATTGGGAGGGGGCATTGCTTTTTCTGGTGTTTTTGACGATTTTTGGCGGACCTATAAAATATAGTTACTATAAAATAGTATAAAAAACATGGAATAATTAGAGCGCTTTGAACGACCTCTAAAAATTGCTTGATTTCGAAATACAATATAAGTATATTTTTTCGATATAGAATAATCCTTGGAGTGAGAGCACACAATTCCGACTTTACTTTTTCCGCATGCATTTTTAGACCACCCTAATGTAAATATATAATTTGTCTATTAAAAATGGGTCGAACTGAATACTAAAGAGTGGTTCGGATCAAACATTTGTGGAAAATTTCGGCTCGGTTAAAGGTTCAGATAATAAGCGGTTAATGCGTACAAAATGTGTGAGTGAAAGCCCCCAGAAGTAAGCGTTATCCTGCAGTGAAAAGCCAAACCAGTTAGAAAAAATATTAGTTCATTAACTAGTATGTGCCTACCAGTTCGACAATTTCGAAGAACTTAGGCGATCAGCGACATCTGCCTTTGAATTGCCAAAGCCAAAAATAAAACGCAATTAATTGCTTTTCTTACAAATGTCGGCTGTGGCGTCACGTGAAGACTACTGGTTCTGGTTCTGAAATCGCAGGTTCGAGGCCGCTTTGGAGGTGTTTAAGATTTTTAAAGTTAAATAAATGTAAGTAAAAATAATTTATTCAATTTATAAATAAATAACAAATTTGAAAATCTAATTGCGTTGCAAAAAAACATTTAGGAAGAAATATAAAGACAAAGAAATTAACCAAAAATATAAAATAAAAATTAAATAAAAATATAAAATATAAACAAAAAAATAAATTTATAAAAAATAAAAATAAAATAAAAAATAGAAAATAAAAAAATTTTACCTGCGCCAGGATTTGAACCTGGGACCTCAAGCTTACCACGCGAGTGCTCTTCTCTGTCGGTCATTGTGACTGCTTGAGCGTCGCGAGCAAAAAGGCACACTTATGCTTTTCACGGGGCATGAATTGGCAGACTATCTCATCAACTGGTATGATGCTACTAGTATTTATACTAGTAGATGCTGATGCATAGCCTGACAATTGACATCTCGTAGGACATCGCAATGTTAAAAATACCAGTCGCTAACATTGAAAAAGGATAGAACGTGAACTAGTTCGGCTGAAACGCAAACCGGTAGAATTCTAGTTCACAACTAGTAGCTTTCCCTGCAGGGTACTTCAGAGTTGACCGCTTCATAAGTAAGCTTTTTAAGCTTTCTGTACATGAATCAGCGTTGCCGTTTTGCTTAAATTTAAGCAAAATTGATTAATTTTTTCCTGCCTGTTAAAATGTTAAACTTTTCTTCGTTTTGCTAAATTTCTTGATTAAAATATTCAAAAAGGCTAAGTTTCCTCAAAAATTCACTTCGGGCTATGAATCAATTTTCAATAAATTTTTGAATTTCGTTTTAGACTATAAAATCCTTATTTTTGAGCCTTAGATTGTCTTAACTTACTTACTTGCTTATTTTTTATTTCTATAACCAATTTACCAAGCATGGTAAGAAAAGCCCAAATTAATTAAATAAGTTGCTTAATTTTAACGAGATTTGGTAATTTTTTTTTAACGATTTTGGTAAATTTTATTTTTTGATCGCGGCAACACTGTACATGATGTATGAATTTTGGAACGCACATCGTTTTGAGAACGAAAGCGTGCAGGGAAGATTTTGAAACGCAAAAACCGGTTTGTTTTTAAACCAAATTTGACAAGGGATGACGAAAATTCTTTCCAAAATATATCAACTTCTCTCCCTGTCAGAAGACCAAATCTACAGAAATTTTCAATACATTTTATATGATCAGGCATCAGAGTGAATACCCTTTCTAAGTAGCTTTACTTACATTATTTTGTGGGTTCTTGTGACGCAGTTCTTCGCTTAGCGCCTGAAAGTATGCAAATTATATTACATATTATTAAATTTATCCTTTAATAAGGAAAACCATCTGTTCTACTTACTTCCATAAGACCGCGCACCGCAAATTTTGTGCCGCAGTATGGCACCAAATTGGGCAAGCCGAAGAAACCGGCGCACGATGACAAAGCGACAATGTGTCCCTCGTTGCGCGCTATCATATCGGGCAGGAATGCTTGGATGATCTGTAAGAAAAATAATTATGATTGGTAAAACTTTAGCGAATTGCAATTAAAAGCAATTGAAAAACGGAAAGAAAATGCACGGAGCTATGTACGGATATCTTAAGAAAACGGTCAAGAAAAAATTTGTCATTATTTCGTGACACAATGACAAAATTCATGGTATGACTATTGTCACAATTAATGCGTCAAAAATACAATATAAACATTGCTTCGTCGTTGTCGCGTACTCAGTAGGTCATAACAATAACAATGACAATTGTCACCAGTATAGAGTTTAAAATAAATTTGCGGCATAGTATTAGGCGCAGTTGTAAAGACAACAGTCAGCCGCTGGCGTGGAAATAGGGCTGTAATAGTGTTCCTGGATTTTTGACAACTGTTTTTTCACAGCCTGCTGCCTCACTCTTTCTTAGCGAAATAATGGAACGGACACATGTTAGGAACTGAGTACTGATGGGTAAGTACTAGAACGGGGTACTTAAGGTCAATGAACTTCGATACAAAAAAAAACAATATCTCCTCAAGAAAATAACATTGATATGTCATACTTTAAGATCCGAAAGTAATCGCTGATGAAATAACGAAAAATGTAAAAAAGCGACCCCTACGTTCGGCCAATTTTTTTTTTTTTTAATTTTTTCGGTAAAAATACTATAGACTCAGGGGTCTAAGATGATGCTACCATTATTATACTAAGATCCTGTAATTATTTACTCACCCAGAAGTGTGCTAATACATTGATCTCATACATAGTCCTAATCTCAGTCTCAGTGTGTTCCAGCAGTGGATGGCATGGCATAATACCAGCATTATTGACAATAACATTGATGAAGCCATGCTCTTTCTTATTCTTCTCGGCCAATGCATTAATCTCCTCACGTTTTGTAACATTGCAGCTATGAAAGTGGTAACCATAAAATATTTGTTGTTGTATTATATTTAAAATACGCCCTTCTTCTTCTTATTTACTTACGTGTAAGCGTAGGCTTCACCACCGTAAGCCTTGATTTCCTTCACTGTCTGCTGATTGGCTTCCTCATTCACATCCCAGCAAATTAGTTTGGCGCCGAGTGCACTGTATTGCAGGGCGAGCTCCTTGCCAATGCCGTGACCGGTGCCAGTAATAAGCACTGTTTTACCTTTGACATCGATTTCTTGTGGCATAAACACTTTGACAATTGACTCTACAACCGCAATCCAGAATTTGACCACTAATACTAATATATCAGCAACTAATGTGATAATGTTATAGATGTCAACGTTGCTATTTTTGCTGGGGCCATTGACTCTTAAAAAAAAAAAGAAGTGAATTGAAAGCAAATGAATAAGTATGCGAGTAAATTAGTAATTAAAATTGTGTATAATAAAAAAATATTCTTATTATTTGCATTTGCATAAATGCACAGAAAAATTTATCTGATTAGTTAATACACCGTTATTGTTTTTAAATAAAAGTCAACCACTTTGCAATTTATTGTCGTTCAGTTGCGATTTAATATTAGCTATTCAATAAACGTGTTTTGATGCCAATGCATTCCGACAAAGCACAAATGCACTATATACATACATATGTACATACATACATACTTACAATTGTATGAGATAAATAAATATGTCTGTACAAAGCTATTGTTGATAGGTTGGAGAAATTGAAATTGCTATCAAATCTATTAATTGCTTTTTTGCACAACAATTACTACTACTGATTTGCAATCTTGCAATGGCATTACTGCACCTATGAAATTTTAGAACTGGCAAATGAAATTTAATGACGCTGAAGCATTTATTTTGTAGATAATGTTTTAAAATATGGCGGTTAAATAGCCGTAAACTTGTTTTTAATTTTTTTTGATCTCGAAGCATTTAAAAACACATAAAATGATTAATTTGTACAAAGCAATGACTTTGCAATATATTAATGTCATCATTGCAAGAAAAATGAAATGACAATTTCATACTTAAAAGAAAAGGTAAAATTTTTTAAATTAACTTAGATAATGCTGGCAGGTTTGTTCGGAAGAAAGAACTTTGAATTTTGGTGTGGTAGTGCGTGTGCCTCTATATCCATATATATGCATTGGTTAGGATTGAAAAATGTTACTAGGGCACCATCGGAAATCATCGATGTACCGATGTTTTTCTACCGATTGATTTCTCCGATATATCGAAACTTCGATGTATCTATGTTACTCCTTAAAATTTGCATCACTATGTAGTTCAACCGCGGCCTTAGAGTCGCTCCTGGGCTAAGCTCTACTCCATATTTTGGCCTAAGTAGCAGTAGATTTATGGAATTTAGAATTGCTAACTTCTCATAGTACTGTTCATAAGAAGACACAAGACAAAAGTATTTTAAGCAGAATACCATGTTTAGGATCTTGGGAGGAATTCTATGCTAAAGGAAATCTGCTTTGGGAGCAAATTCCAGATCAAAATTCCCGACCGAGAGGTCTGGTCAAATGGTTTAACTGTATTGGATCCCAGACATGTACAATGTAAAGATGGGGTCAGGGTAGGTGCGAGTGACTTTGGACCTGACATCAAACTTTATACATACTGCAATAGGTATTTGTTTCAACACCTTACAGGCCGAAGTACTAGCAATTTCAATTTGTGCCACATGAAACCTTAAAAAGGGTTTTAAAGGCGCATTTCTTGCTATCTTTTCAGAAGCCAAGCGGCCATAAGGTCCCTATAAAATAGGACGTTCACTAGACTCGTCAAGTAATGCTTTGAGGCACTCCAACTTTTGGCAGCAAGGAATACGGTAATACTATGCAGGGCACTAGGACACAGTGGGATTAAAGGTTACGAGGTCGCCGACAGATCGCTAGGGAAGGCTTTGTACTTGTTGGTCCTCCTCGAGACTCATAATCGAAGCGCGAATAAACTCAGAACGAAGAAAGTTCTGGGGAGAGGTATGGTTAGACTGTTTGGTTATCCTTTTGCTAGGAAATATATACATATAGCTTTTGAACAGAGCTAATACCAAGTTGCTTATTGCACCGCCAGCTTTGTCTTGAAGAGAGGAGACGTAGGAGCACATTTTGTGTGATTGTCCGGCAATGGACAGACAGCAGTACCTCAGTTTCTCCACAGTCGTTGGCCTTAATCTCAGGAATTCGTCTAGCAAAGAACTGTTCAATTTTATTAGGGGGGCTGATAATATCTTGGATCCTCAGGGTTTGAACTAACAGAATAATATGATTGTGAAGTAGTGAAGGTCTCTGCCCACCTAGTATCCAGCATTAAAGCCACCAATAAAGTCAGGCTAAATATGAAGCGAAGTAACAGGTGCAACAAATTTAGGCGAGGTATGAGGAACAAGAATCACTTTCTACAAAAATCTCATCAATCATTCCCAGCAAGAAAAATGGCTCCACACATTCACTGACACATCACCTGGTACTGCACACTGTTTTGGGATCCGCCACTTAAAATAAAAATTAAACTTGCTCGGATGAGATGACCTAAAATTACTTACCATCAGGACTCAGTTTTTATCCCATCTAAAGTACCACCCTATTGTCAATAAATTGAAGTAGACCAAAAACAATTAAACTTTTGCTAAGGATGTGTTTCGATTATGACAGTAGAACTATTTAAAAAAAATTTTTTTACTGCCGAATGTAGGTGTTATCGAAAAATGTAAAAACTAGTGGTCGGCTTTTACGTTTTCTGAAAAAAAAATCGCGACATAACATTACAAAAATTCTCCACACTCAGGGGTGTACGGTCTATTATAGTACATACAATAGATTCATTTTGATCGATACTTTTTACTAAATATAGATGCTGGTATTGAGAATACTCAATGAATAAGTGCTTTGTTTGTATTGTTGTGATTATATTCATTCCTGACACGCGCAATATAATTAACCATGAAGCGGAACCAATTTATTGTTATACTACGATTATAATCATCAAGATGTAAATACATATGTCCATATATAGATTTTTCATCATCATTATTTAAAATATTTGCTTAATAGTTGATTTCCACCAAGCGTTAAAGCCAGTCTATGCCGTTTGAAAAACGGAGATTATAACTCGAATGGGGGTAATTCCACCTATTAAGTAGAAGCAAACGAAAGGAAAAAAGCAAAATTTAGGAAAAAAATCTTGCCGATGACCACATGTGGCAACTATTTGAACTTCTCTGAGCTCTTAACTGCAGTTAAGCCTTTGGTGGAAATAGACTATAACAAAGTATAAATAAATAAATATTATTTGTAACAAATAGTTTATGTTGCTGTGTATATTTACAGTTTAGAAAGCTTTGGGAAGATATTTTAAACTAGTGGAACCTGCAATATTGAACACAGTGTCGCGGCTTAAAAGGTTCCGAGCGCTGTACTAAGGCAACTACCAACTAGTTTGGTCGAAAATTTGTTAATCGTGAAAAATCAATAGTATTTATAAACCACCTAATACAACAGACTTTGATCAGCAATTTGCAAACTACATTTTTTTATAATAAAAAACTCAACAATTCGAATATGTCAATTATTAGGTACTTAATATGTATACAATTCTGTTTCATAGTCGTAAACAAACAATTATTCGTAAAATAGTAGCTTGCCATTTTAAAGCTAAAATACTCGTAGATACTTAATGCAATACCATAATTGAAGCACAATTAAACAGCAGTTCAGCAGTATAATTTTTATTACGCATGTATATGTATGTACATGGAATCGACTACTGTTAACCTTTAGTAACCTCTATAAAATAAGATCTGTCCTTTTATTTACAATAAAATGGTCGCGCACGCGTAAACGTTGACGAGTCTATGGTCCAATGAGCATGCCAGCAACGTACACTTAGGGATGCCAAAATATGAGAAAAATTGTGATCCCGGGATTTCGGGATTTTTTTCACACATTTAGTAAAAATTCAATATCTGAAAGCATTTAAACATACCATGAAATAAAACTATTTAAAATTTACGATAAACTTATTGTAAAGCTCACATATTTATTAAATCAGACAAATCTAAAAGTAATACATTTTTTAAATTGTACATATTTATAAAACTATGTGATTGAGGAATGCATACATCACAAATAACAATGTAAATAACAGGTACTTTTGAAATTAATGATTAATAAAAACAATTAAACAAAAATATACAAAAACAAATTCTTTCAACATGTTTATTCTACTTCATATGTATATAAATGGCGATTTCTTTTGCCATTTTTTCGCAATTAACTCGAAATTCGGATTCACCGGGTCGAAATACATGTCGGTAGGTAAGTCTGGTTAAAATCGGAGTCTTCTAATCTTGACTTGAACTTGTTACATACAAAACCTGCTGATGAAAAACATCTCGCGGCCTCAATACCTTTAGGCTCAACTGTCAAAAGGTAGTCATAAGCCATTTGAAGTTAATGACCCCTATCTCCTTTACTACAAAATATTTCAACTTCTTTTACCAGCACATCGGATAAATTATAACTTTTGCGATTTGAGTAGATTGATTTAAAAAATTATGTAACTTTTTCTTAAAACTCTCTGTTTCGTTTACATTAGCGACGCTATGAGTACATTTATTTAAATCTTTTTCAAAAAAGGCTCAGGCGGCAATTTGAAAAGTCCAGTTTCAAGGTCTTTGTTAATTGCAGTCAAGACGGCGTTTTACAAAAATCATACTTCAAGATTCATAAACAAGTTCTTACTATCAATTCGATATATCAAATTTTTCCGGATCCCGGGATTTTCGGATTTCAAAAACACTGACGTCCCTAGTAACACATATATATATTTAGAGCAAAAATACGACTAAATTATAAGTTTCTCAGTTGTTGTACTTGTTTGGAGTGATGATTTATATATGTATGCATAAAAATATACTTATTTACGAGCACTAAGCACATTAAAATCTTCTTATCTCGAAATAAGATTAAAAAGATTGTGCCTTTATAGCTATACTCGTATATTCGTGATATTCTTAATAACGACGGAAAAGAAGGACGAAGCGTCCAAAGATATCTTCTAAATAAAATTGACAACTATTTGTTTGATAGGAAGGGATCTTAGGCCCCACCTCCACGATGAGCCGCCTAATAATGGACTCATCGGCTGATCGACCCGGGCCCGAAACATAGTAGCAGTGATGCGAATGCAAACCTAGCAAAACAGTTCCTGTTGGGTTTTATCATAAGAAGATTTCGAAAACCGCATGGCTGTCCACAAATCGAAAGACCTGAAACAAAATTGGTCATGTTCTGACGGCCGCATAGTCAGATTATAGTATTTCAGACGTACGTACGATCCAAGGTCCAA